ATTAATGCCCACAAGAGTTTTAGGGTTGGTTCGTCTGAACAGAATGAGTATTCTTTGCAATAAATCAGTTTGTAGAACAGGTTTGGTTTATTTTTTGTTTCACGGCATATCAACCTTTAATGGTTTAATTAATGCCCACAAGAGTTTTAGGGTTGGTTCGTCTGAACAGAATGAGTATTCTTTGCAATAAATCAGTTTGTAGAACAGGTTTGGTTTATTTTGTTTCACGGCATATCAACCTTAATGGTTTAATTAATGCCCACAAGAGTTTTAGGGTTGGTTCGTCTGAACAGAATGAGTATTCTTTGCAATAAATCAGTTTGTAGAAATCAGGTTTGGTTTATTTTGTTTCACGGCATATCAACCTTAATGGTTTAATTAATGCCCACAAGAGTTTTAGGGTTGGTTCGTCTGAACAGAATGAGTATTCTTTGCAATAAATCAGTTTGTAGAACAGGTTTGGTTTATTTTGTTTCACGGCATATCAACCTTAATGGTTTAATTAATGCCCACAAGAGTTTTAGGGTTGGTTCGTCTGAACAGAATGAGTATTCTTTGCAATAAATCAGTTTGTAGAACAGGTTTGGTTTATTTTTGTTTCACGGCATATCAACCTTAATGGTTTAATTAATTTAGGGTTGGTTCGCCCAGAATGAGTTTTTTTTGCAATAAATCAGTTTGTAGAACAGGTTTGGTTTTGTTCGGTCTGAACAGAATGAGTATTCTTTTGCAATAAATCAGTTTGTAGAACAGGTTTGGTTTATTTTGTTTCACGGCATATCAACCTTAATGGTTTAATTAATGCCCACAAGAGTTTTTAGGGTTGGTTCGTCTGAACAGAATGGTATTCTTTGCAATAAATCAGTTTGTAGAACAGGTTTGGTTTATTTTGTTTCACGGCATATCAACCTTAATAAGTTTTAAGGTTTTTTAGGTTCGTCTGAACAGAATGAGTATTCTTTGCAATTCTTTGGTTTATTTTGTTTCACGGCAACAAATTAATGCCCACAAGGTTTTAGGGTTGGTTCGTCTGAAACAGAATTATTCTTTGAACAGGTTTGGTTTATTTTGTTTCACGGCATATCAACCTTAATGGTTTAATTAATGCCCACAAGAGTTTTAGGGTTGGTTCGTCTGAACAGAATGAGTATTCTTTGCAATAAATCAGTTTGTAGAACAGGTTTGGTTTATTTTGTTTCACGGCATATCAACCTTAATGGTTTAATTAATGCCCACAAGAGTTTTAGGGTTGGTTCGTCTGAACAGAATGAGTATTCTTTGCAATAAATCAGTTTGTAGAACAGGTTTGGTTTATTTTGTTTCACGGCATATCAACCTTTAATGGTTTAATTAATGCCCACAAGAGTTTTAGGGTTGGTTCGTCTGAACAGAATGAGTATTCTTTGCAATAAATCAGTTTGTAGAACAGGTTTGGTTTATTTTGTTTCACGGCATATCAACCTTAATGGTTTAATTAATGCCCACAAGAGTTTTAGGGTTGGTTCGTCTGAACAGAATGAGTATTCTTTGCAATAAATCAGTTTGTAGAACAGGTTTGGTTTATTTTTGTTTCACGGCATATCAACCTTAATGGTTTTAATTAATGCCCACAAGAGTTTTAGGGTTGGTTCGTCTGAACAGAATGAGTATTCTTTGCAATAAATCAGTTTGTAGAACAGGTTTGGTTTATTTTGTTTCACGGCATATCAACCTTAATGGTTTAATTAATGCCCACAAGAGTTTTAGGGTTGGTTCGTCTGAACAGAATGAGTATTCTTTGCAATAAATCAGTTTGTAGAACAGGTTTGGTTTATTTTGTTTCACGGCATATCAACCTTAATGGTTTAATTAATGCCCACAAGAGTTTTAGGGTTGGTTCGTCTGAACAGAATGAGTATTCTTTGCAATAAATCAGTTTGTAGAACAGGTTTGGTTTATTTTGTTTCACGGCATATCAACCTTAATGGTTTAATTAATGCCCACAAGAGTTTTAGGGTTGGTTCGTCTGAACAGAATGAGTATTCTTTGCAATAAATCAGTTTGTAGAACAGGTTTGGTTTATTTTGTTTCACGGCATATCAACCTTAATGGTTTAATTAATGCCCACAAGAGTTTTAGGGTTGGTTCGTCTGAACAGAATGAGTATTCTTTGCAATAAATCAGTTTGTAGAACAGGTTTGGTTTATTTTGTTTCACGGCATATCAACCTTAATGGTTTAATTAATGCCCACAAGAGTTTTAGGGTTGGTTCGTCTGAACAGAATGAGTATTCTTTGCAATAAATCAGTTTGTAGAACAGGTTTGGTTTATTTTGTTTCACGGCATATCAACCTTAATGGTTTAATTAATGCCCACAAGAGTTTTAGGGTTGGTTCGTCTGAACAGAATGAGTATTCTTTGCAATAAATCAGTTTGTAGAACAGGTTTGGTTTATTTTGTTTCACGGCATATCAACCTTAATGGTTTAATTAATGCCCACAAGAGTTTTAGGGTTGGTTCGTCTGAACAGAATGAGTATTCTTTGCAATAAATCAGTTTGTAGAACAGGTTTGGTTTATTTTGTTTCACGGCATATCAACCTTAATGGTTTAATTAATGCCCACAAGAGTTTTAGGGTTGGTTCGTCTGAACAGAATGAGTATTCTTTGCAATAAATCAGTTTGTAGAACAGGTTTGGTTTATTTTGTTTCACGACATATCAACCCCAATGGGTTATGAAATGCCGACAATTTTTTTTAGGATAGATCCGTAAGAACAGAATAAGTATTTTTTGTAAGAAATCAGCTTGTAAATCAGTTTTCATTGAAATCGAGAACCAAATGTATCCTCACCAACATTTTTTTTCCAAAAATGTATTGGTTGTAATATTTTTTTCAAAAATGTATCACTGCTATTTTCACAATAAAAAAAAATATTTTTAAACATTCATAGTGTTTAGCCCCTGCTTGGGGGAGTTAACTATTTCCCCATAGCTGGGGGCCTTAACTATTTCCCCATAGCTTTCTCAGTCGTACGTTTCATACCTATTTACATATCTACCTATCTCGATATGTTTATATATACCTAGCTTATCTTCTCTTTTCGTCTATCCATTTCTAACTACCTATGTAGTGGTCTTGATATGTTCATATCTATCTATCTAGCTAGCTAGCTATCTATCTAGCTAGCTAGCTAGCTATCCATCTATCTATCGGTCTGTGTTCGTGTGTATGTGTTTGTGTGTATGTGTGTTTGTAGGATGTATAATAGTATCGAAACCAAAATTGAAGATAATGAGACAAAGTGGAAAAGCAAAAACGTCGCATTTCGCTGAGAGCATCTGGTTCCTTCGGCATCTTCAAGTTAGAATGAAAGGAAATCAAAACTGCATGTAAGAAAAAATCTATCAATATATGTTCATACTTATCTATCTATCTATCTATCTATTTATCTATATATATATATATATATATATAATCGACTCTCCCGTAGAGATTCGACGTATGAGGCTCAAGCAGATCAGTTTCCAGGAAATCGACAGCCCGACAACGGCACATGAGATTTGATTATAGTGGTGAAGGCCTCGTGCAGGACCATCCACACTTTTTGAAGGGACGAATACAGAGACCTGGTGCACCGAATACGACCAAACGACCCTCCGCAGGTTTTGAATTCAGAGTTGTCCTTCTCCTAGACCAGTTGCCATCCAAGGCTAGAGAACCCATTCTGTCCTGCTATTTTACCCATAGCTGGAGGGAGAGTAAGAGGATTCATATCTTTCCCAAGGGTATTAGCATGTAAGTGAATGTAATGGATTCGACTGGAATTCGAACTCGGCTCTACGATTCCTCAATCCAAGCCGCATTACTCCACCGTGCCTACTATATATATAAAGGGAAGAGTTTATAGTTGTCCCAACGAGAGAAAAGTGTATGTATTAAAAGAAGAGAGAAACCGCAAACATTTTTTTGGTTGTAATGTGGATTTATTTAAATATATATATATATATATATATATATATATATATATATATATATATATATATATATATATATATATATATATAGAGAGAGAGAGAGAGATAGATAGATAGATAGATAGATAGATAGATAGATAGATATTTTATGCTTTATTTTCTATACTTTTGCAACATGTATTTCAGGTCTCGCGACCTTCTTCAAGCAAAGACTGGATATTTTCACATATTATTAAAATGAATCAATTTTCCTTATGTTTTTCGATCTTAAACATTCCCGATGTTAAATATTCTCTTTTCAAAAAAGAGAACGTTTATCACACACACACACAAACACGCAGACACAGACACGCAGAGACACACAGAGACACACACACACACACACATATATATATATAAACATCAGTATATTCCTATCGTTCTGTCTATACTTTTGACTCTAAAGTCAAAATTCAAAAAAATAAGCGCAGTAAATTTATTAACTCTATGAATACATTTACTTTTACGTGCTCATAAAATCTACAAAATCTCATGTGGCAAGAAACTATCCATCAAACCCTGCTGAAGTAATATCTTTTTCCCTCTATATATATATATATATATATATATATATATATATATATATATATATATATATATATATATATATATTATTCATAAATATCTGTTAATCCTCTTTTGTGGCTCCTGTTTTAAGATCCACAGATAAAGAATAATCACTTTTCTGTGACACATCTCTCGGCCGACATCCACACATCAGAGAAATGCGAAAGCCGCATGCTTACCAAAAAGTACCGAAGCAGACGCCCATATGATTCCCAAGCGATTCTACAGAAATATTTTCGCAGAGGGAGGCGACTGTTTCCATTTTTCATCTAATAGTTTCCTGTTGAAGAGTCTTGGCCAGTGTATCCAGCCGGCTTCAATAGCGTGAAATATCCTACGGTTTTATCTTCATTATTCTTGTAACAGGCCCTTTGCTCACCTGTCCCGAGAGAATTATCAAGAGAAACAGTTTATTCACACTTATACCAATGGATTGTATATGAATCGTATTTTGAAGAAACAAACGCGCCCCATCTCTACACATCCGGGTTATCTCTCACATTTGTATGTTTATCTGCAGGTTCGTGTTCGTCTTTTTCTTTCTTTCTGTCTTTCTTTCTTTATTTCTTTCTTTATTTATTTATTTCTCTTTAGTCTTTCTTTCTTTCTTTCTTTCTTTCTTTATTTATTTATTTATTTATTCATTTCTCTTTCGTCTCTTTCTTTTTTCTTTCTTTCTTTCTTTCTTTCTTCCTTTCTTTCTTTATTTATTTATTTCTCTTTAGTCTTTCTTTCTTTCTTTCTCTTTCTTTCTTTATTTATTTATTTATTTATTCATTTCTCTTTCGTCTCTTTCTTTTTTCTTCCTTTCTTTATTTATTTATTTATTTCTCGTTAGTCTTTCTTTTTTCTTTCTTTCTTTCTTTCTTTCTTTATTCATTTCTCTTTCTCTTTTCTTTCTTTCTTTCTTTCTTTATTTATTTATTTCTTTATTTAATTCTCTTTAGTCTTTCTTTTTTCTTTCTTTCTTTCTTTATTTATTCATTTCTCTTTCGTCTCTCTTTCTTTTTTCTTTCTTTCTTTCTTTCTTTATTTATTTCTCTTTAGTCTTTCTTTTTTTCTTTCTTTCTTTCTTTCTTTATTTATTCATTTCTCTTTCTTTTTTCTTTCTTTCTCTCTTTCTTTATTTATTTAATTCTCTTTAGTCTTTCTTTTTTTCTTTCTTTCTTTCTTTCTTTCTTTATTTATTCATTTCTCTTTCGTCTCTCTTTCTTTTTTCTTTCTTTCTTTCTTTCTTTCTTTATTTATTTCTCATTAGTCTTTCTTTTTTCTTTCTTTCTTTATTTATTCATTTCTCTTTCGTCTTTCTTTCTTTCTTTCTTTCTTTATTTATTTATTTCTCTTTCGTCTTCTGTTTTGCCAAGACAAACACCTAGGAACTCGAAAAGATATTCCTTCAAATATATGCATATCACAATTTTTTTTCCCTGGCGATTTCTTCTTTTATCTTCCTCTATCACTTCCTGTGTCTTTAGTTCTTTCGTTTTTTTTCTCATATTTACCTTTCTGCTAACTTTTCTTTTTTTTGTCTCATTGTCTCCTCCCTTAATCTGGCCTTGTGACAAACTTGGCTTCTTCACGCGAATATCTCTTTTCAACAGTTTTTGAATAAACAAACACAAAGGCTCGCAAGCGTGATGCACACTTCTTCAAAGCACCTACTTATTCGACAATCTACTTATATTTTTCCATTTTGACTTCAGTGTACGAATCATACGCATTTACACCCCTACACTCAAATGAAGTTTATCTCTCTCTGGCTTTCGCCAAATCTATCTATCTATCTATCTATCTATCTATCTATCTATCCCATTCTGATCAGATTATCTATCTATCCCATTCTGTTCAGATTATCTATCTATCTATCTATCCCATTCTGATCAGATTATCTATCTATCCCATTCTGTTCAGGCTATCTATCTATCTATCTATCTATCTATCTATCTATCTATCTATCTATCTATCTATCTATCTATCCCATTCTGTTCAGATTATCTATCTATTCCATTCTGTTCAGATTATCTATCTATCTCATTCTGTTCAGATTATCTATATATTCCATTCTGTTCAGATTATCTATCTATTCCATTCTGTTCAGATTATCTATCTATCTCATTCTGTTCAGATTATCTATATATTCCATTCTGTTCAGATTATCTATCTATCTATCTATCTATCTATCTATCTATCTATCTATCTATCTATCTATCTAGCCCATTCTGATCAGATTATCTATCTATCTATCCCATTCTGTTCAGACTATCTATCTATCTATCTATCTATCTATCTATCTATCTATCTATCTATCTCTATCTCATTCTGTTCAGACTATCTATCTATCTATCTATCTATCTATCTATCTATCTATCTATCTATTTACTGTTAAACATCCATTAACGAATAATGCATTAAGATTTGAATCTACTTTAACTCAAGTTTCCTTTCTCCTTCTTTATCTGTCTATCAGTCTTTGTTAAATCTCTGCTGAAACATTAACGTATATAAAATGTATCTAATCTTGTTCAAATGTGTTCTCTCTCAACTGTCTGTTATTTTTTCATTAAGTTACCTACATGCTTTTATGCTGCTTGACAGGTGAAATGGCTTTGTGTTCTCATCGGGGCATTGCTCGTCGGTCTTTGAGCCCAATTAGTAGCCAACGGAAGCTGACTGGCGCATCTCGATTTAACCCATTTGGTATTGTGCTGTAAAATACCCAAGCGTGTTAAATATCAAGTGCAATACAGTTACATAATCTTGTCTTACCCTTTTCTTTATTTGCATATTTTGATATACTCATCATAAACATGGGCACTTCGATATGGCGTAATGGTTGTCAATATCGTCTAGCTAGATATATTACGACCGACTAGTGAGTTCGATCCTCACTGGACGTTCTATACTGTCTACCTTGTACGTCGTGTAAACTTCGCACAGCATAAGCGTATGTTAATGCATGATATGTATAAACTAGTTTAAAAAACGCCTTCCTCGGGCTTTTCATGAAGTTAAGTCAATGTATAAGTGATATGTCTGGAAATTATCATGATGTTATGGGTCGGGTGTATCACATAATTTTAATATTTAATTCTCTTGTTCCTTAGTTACATTGTTAGTTAGTTCGAACATGCATTACGATCTGCCATTACTTTAAATAACTAAATGGGAGATATCATTTAGATTTCCGAGGATAAACAGAAGAATAAGCACTGATTTATTTTAGGTCAAGAAATAGAGAAATAAAAGATAAAAACAGATTGTCGCCCTACAGTGTTGATCTCATTTTCCAGTTTATATTTCCGATACTGAGCACGTTACCCATACATATAGCATACGTTAATACTACAGTTGTTTCATATGCACTTTCTGATAAACAGCAGAGCACTTTGGTCATATTTATAACCTAACATATACATTGAAAACTTTAACCTCGACTACAACCTATAGAATATATCCCTCCCATCACCATCTACGTACAAACTGCAATTAATATGAATTTAAAAAAAATCATAAAAAGAATATGATGTAAAGCGTATTTCTTCTTAAACCAGGAATTTAACACAAATGCCTCGCTCAAAAAAATACGATTATAAAACAAAACAAAAATGTCCCCGGTAACATAACGAACGAGACAACTTCAAAAGAGACTCAACTAACTTCGCAAGAAACAACATTTCATAAGCAATTTTACGCTTTCCAGAAAAACTAAAACGAGATATAATCAAAATAAACAATTCGACTTACGTATTTATCACTGCAGACAAAACTAGACGTTTATATGTATAGGTCACCAAGAACACAACAAACTACTGAGAGACAACATAACTAAAATATACGGGGAAAAAAAGCAAACGCTACATAATACGTTATTACATGAGGCATAGACGATCGAATAAATTGCATCGCCAAATCTCAAGCCCTCGTTGAACTAAAAGACCATCTACAAAACTTTAAATTAGCCCAACATGCAGACTCATAAAACCAAATAAAATTGAACTAAAAAAAAGAAGTAAAATAATACTAGAAAGAATTAACTCAGAACTAAGGATGAAGACAAAGACAATCATAGATTGATTCATTGAATTAGTTATGTCTAATTTTTTATTATATTTTTTCCAATTATCGAGTACAGTGTTAAGCATTGTGCTCGAATTTGTGGATAAACTGTCCGATGTTTCTTTCTATATTTCTGAGATGAAGTATTGTGACACCATTTAGAGCTGCAAGGAAAATTTAAAAAAAAGAAAGAAAAAGAAAGGCGAGAGTTAAAACTTAGATGATAAAGGAAAGGGCATTTAGCGATGTTATTTTGATAATGAAGAATGGTGAAAATTTTTATGGCCATTGTGGAAAAGCTAATTGACGAATTCCAGGTGGGCCAAATAAGCAGATACAGAGTTTTGAATAGATAAAAAATTAACTGTGTCATGGTGGCGAACTTATATTATCGGGAAAAGATTTTCCGTTGACCGATAAATAAGAATGTCCACTTGGTGCTGGCGAAAATCTGATTGACGAATTCTATATGAAAGTGACATTGGGATAAGAATTGAGATTATCACACTACGGGTCGTATTGTTCTGTTGGCGGCCAGAGAAGAAGAGAGAAAAAAAGAAAGAAAAGAAATAGAAAAAGAGAAAGAGGAGATAATTTTTCTTCTTTGAGCAAGATATTTTTTAAAAAAAAACAAGGCTAGTCTGGTCACACCCACACTGTTGAACGCCCATTGCTGAATGTTAACGAGAGCCAGGCGGAGGTGATCATGTGATGCGGGGGGGCACCACCCATTGAGGGGATAGGTATGAGATGTTACTGCGAAGGAGTGGGAAACCGTTGACGCCTTCTGAGGGTATGGTGAGATACCCATATGAGAACAGAAGAAGGTGGGAGTAAGAGAAGACCTCCAAAAATGGAAATAATAAATTTTTCCTGACCGAAAAAAAAAAGAAGGGGATTGTGGATTTGGAATCATCAAGGAACCTCAAACCCCGACGAGCCCTCCCCGGTTTGGGTCGGCGTCCATATAAGCAAAGTCGCAGCGAGCGAAAATCAGTTCGAGTTGGGTTGAGTTCCAGATCCAGATCCGGTTGGAATTGGCAGTTGGCTGACCACCTCGCAGATAGCTGACTTGAAAGATTCACGCAATTCCGAACTCATCTTCTAACCAAGAACAATTTTTTTTTGAAGAACGACTTAGACTCATACCACCAAAACAAGTTTTACGAATATCGCCTGAAGACACACCAAGAACCAGTTTCTTAAAGAACAAACAACTTAAGATGTTAAGATTCGCCTAACAAAAACAACGTGTCACGAATCCATATAGCGTTTTGGGAGAAAGACGTAGTCCTATATTCAGCAACCAGATATAAAATATTGTTATCCTTTTTAACACATTGAACTTTTCGAGTTATTATTTTATTTTCTTTTGCATATACTTGTGTGATATTGCCCTTATTCGAACTCAGCTTGCATTACGGCCCCAGCGACTGATTGATTTCGTCTGCCTAGATCAATTCACAACGTGGGTAGGCAGACTGGAGATCAAAGTAGTTATTTCGGTAACCAGACGTTGGAGGCGAGTTGGGAACGACGAGGCTGATATCGAATCTAACCAGATTCCCATCCGAATCATCAAAAGGTTGGAAAATCACATTTGGGTGCCGCGACCAATACCAAGCCAGTTGGTCGTCACAGGACGGGTTAGCACGACTGACGCAGACAGGCGGACGTCACGTTTGGAGCGGCGACACACCAGCGGGTGGGGGGTCGTCACAGTATAATGTACACTATTTACATTATTCGGACTCATCTTTGTCGCCATATAATAACAACAAAAATTGCAATATAAGCTCTGGTAAAAACATTCAATGATAACAGCAAAAATTGCAATATGAGCACTGGTTAAAAAATGATTGCTGAAGACGTTAGGTTTATAATACCCAGAAATTCGTACACAGATGTCCTCAAAGACACATTGCCCAGTGGATAAATGCGTTGGTTAGATCCAGTGACAGGACCCAAAAAATGTGAGTTCAATACCCGGTTAAGGTGGAGAGGGGAATTAACAGGAGATAAATGATAACTGACATCCATTAAACATGGCAACGTGGAACTAGAAAAGGCTGCCCCAGTGAGCGAAGTAAAGAGTTCAGTTTTACATTCCAACCACCTGAAGAAGGCCGGAGCGTATAACGGCCGAAACGTTGTAATAAATATGGCGACAAAGAGGAGGAAAATAGTCCGATAAATGTAAATAGTGTCCGATGTTTGTACTTTGTTATTGTTTTGTTCAAGTACTTTTGGGAGAATTCTCAACATTGTTGCTTCTTTTTAATCAGACATTTTTGGAAGAATACTTGCTGCTTAAATGTACCCTTAAATGCACATACATATATCATCCTGGGTAAGACGATAAACTGCATCCAACAGCTAGGCCTCTGATCAGGAGGTTTTGAGGAAAGTGGAACCACCTCTTAATTTCTGGTGATCCCAGGTCCACCCTGACCCGGGGTGGTAGAACCTGTTAGGGTCCCAGCTATAGGCAAAGAGTTAAGCCCCAAACTCGGGTCAAAACACTACGGAAGTGTACAAATAGATTTTAATACCAGAAATTCTTTATATAAAACAAAAATTACCAGCAATAGATTTTATGTAAAAAAAGAATTACCAGCGAAGAAAAATTCTTACTAGAATTAGATTTTTGAAGGAATAAATATTATCAGAAATAAATTTTTGGAAAAAAATATTACCAACAATGAAAATTTTGTCGGCATTAAATAATTCATTGAGGTTTATATGCCGTAAAACATACTAAGCCAAACAAAACACACACACACACACACACACACACACACACACACATATATATATATATATATATATATATATATATATATATATATATATATATATATATATATATATGCATGCATTTATATATATATATATATATATATATATATATATATATATATATATATGTAGTATTAAATTGTAAGAGATTTTAGGTGCCAAAATTGCTGGTTCGGTTTCCGTGGTTTACTGGTGGAAAGACATATTAGGTAGACAAGTTTTTTGTCATAAAGTGCTCCATATTAAAAGGTAAGGATAGAGTGTAAATAGAATTAATGCAGAGAAATTTTTCACTTAAGTAAGTTGTGTTATTTCAATCATGCCGACTTGGAAGTTTCATGAGATCATTGTAGTAATGCCTTCACTCTTCTGGGCTATTGGCTTCTCTGCTGCTACTTTTACAGAGAAGTCAGTAACCCTGAAGAGTAAACGCATTACTACAATGCGCTCACGAAACTTCCAAGTTGGCCTGACTGAAATAACACCACTCAGTTACGTGATAAATTTTTCCACATTATATATATATATATA